CACCACTCCTCTGACAGTACACTGCTCACTGACTCCCATGTGTTCTGTTGGGAGTTTTTAGAATAATTTGTATATGTTATCCATCCTTTCTCACAATTTATTTTATAATTGTCCTGTAACTTGTCTTCAGGGTATTGTACAAGGATTTCAACAAAATAAATTTTGTGTAATATGGCATAGCTAACTATTTTAAATGTCCCTTGGAATGATCAGATAAAATAAAGAGTACAGACAGAAGGGTGATGCCTAATTCCTGTGGTTAGTGAATGCTAAATAGCGATTTGTTTCCTATGTAGGCCTAAGTAGTTAGTTGGAGGCATTGACCACGGATGTTGATGTTTGGTTGAAGCGTGGCATACGGCCTCAGCTGCAGCGTAGCTTAGGAGATGTTTGACCTTAGTCCTTCCATGTGACCTGCAGGAGTGTGGGGCTCCCCCGGCGTAACCAGAGATGGAAAGGGCAGGCTCACACTGCCTGGAGCAGACACGGGCCCCGGAGGCCTGGGGGCCTAGGGCAAGGACAGCTTTATGGTACAACCTGCCTGCCCTGTGTGAGTCTGCTCTATGGAAATACACATCTCTGTTACTCACACTGATATTAGACTTACCTGTCAATGTGGGTGGTGGTTCTGGAACAGAAAGGGACCAAGGTAAACGTCATGTTAGATTTCCATCAGTTTGGAAAATGGGAACCAATAAAATATTGATTATTTTTCATTTAGTTTGACTAACATTTAAAATATTTCAACAGCTTTGTTGTGATCAACATTTTTATAGATTTTTTTTTAAACATACACAAAAGCCTACAAAATGTAGACCAAGCTTTTTTGTGTACCTTTTCTATTAAGTGTTTGTTCGAAACCCTCTAGCATGAATAACTGTCCTGGGAAATGTAATCTGAAGACAGGAGAAAGTGGCAGGTAGCCAGTTGATGATGGCCCCTGTTTGCTCAGACAGAGCTTTTAACTGGAGTGCCTCATGTTTTAAAGCCCTTAAACTTCACACCAGGTACTGTAGGGGCTAAAAGCTGCCAGGGGAGATGGTCTCTCCCCCAGGAGCCAGGAGCGCAGAGCTGGGAACTAATGGGTTAAATTACATATGGGTATGAAGATGGAGAAGGAAGCTGTGAATAAAACGGACTGACCTGAGTGACATTGATTAGAATTAGAATGTGAAGTGTGCACAGTGGCGAGGATGGGGGTGACCGGCAACTCTAACGCTTGGCTGGAGGGGGGTGCTCGATGCTCGCCTCACACTGAGGGAATAGAGACAGAGGGATGTGCTGGTGGTATGGGGGTGGGCATATGGGGGTTGGGGATTGCACAGCTAAGACTGTAAACCCTGAGCTGTGCTCCCGCCTGGGGACAGGCAGGCTTTTGTTTTATCAGCATCTCCATTTGAAACAAATCATTCTCCATTGCAATGCTGTCTGCCTTGACCTACTTCTGGAGCCTCTCTTTCTATGACTTGTTGCTTGTAATTTTGGTCAAGACCAATACCACTTTAGACAGCGTCTTGAGGTAATGGGTCCTGACGATATGGCTCTTCTGTTGCTCCTATTTACGCTTTTTTGGTTGATGGCTAGTTCATTAGCAGAAACCTGAAGCAGCCATTAGTGGAATCTTGCCCCACCACTTCATGAAGGGCTGGACAGATATAGGTCAACATAACTAATGGTCAGTTTGATATCGCAAGTGTCCATGGCTGGCTTGCGCTTTGTGTTGCACTGTGTGGCTTGCGTGTTGTGTGCTATAAAGAGAGCTGAGGCTGGGTGATGGGGGTAGGGTGCACAGCTCGCTAGGGGGAGAGAGAGGAGCAATGGGGGGGGGGGTGTTGAAAGAGGAACTGTTTATTGGCTACAAGCTACAGAAACTGCTTATGGCTGTACTGCATGACTGGGCATTTGTGGCAGCTAGAGTCCTGCCTGCCACATCTGCCCCAGCCAGCCTGGAATCAATCACTTTCCAAAGATAACTAAAGAGACTGTTTCAAGCCCCAATGACTGTCCGCTGTTTGTCTTATGGCTCCTAATAAAATGAAAATATTACATACTTTTTTTGTCCTTTGTGTTGTTATCCATGTCACACTAGTCTGACACCATCAGGGAAGTGAAAGTGACTTATTTTCAGATGATATGGCAACAATGGCTGAATTCTGAGTACTGTATGGCTGTGCACTTTCAGTCAGTCAGTCAGTAATCATGCTGGGTCAAAATAAGTAATCATTCTGTGGCCCATCTCTCTGCCCCTTTCAGGCGGTGTCAGAGGAAGGACCTAAAAATTGTCAAAGACTCAAGCCACCCAAGTCATAGACTGTTCTTTCTGCTACTGCACGGCAAGCGGTACCGATGCACAAAGTCTGGAACCAACAGGACCCTGAACAGCATCTACCCCCAAGCCATAAGTTAATTAAATAGTTAACCAAATAGCTACCCGGACTATCTGCATTGACCCTTTTTGCACTAACTTTGTTTGACTCATAACATGCGCTGCTGCTACTGTTTATTATCAATCCTGTTGCCTAGTCACTTTATTCCTAGTTATATGTACACATTTACCTCGTACTCCTGCACATCGACTCAGTACTGGTACCCTGTGTATATAGCCAAGTTATCGTTACTCATTGTGTATTTATTATTACTTTTAATATTACGTGTTTTACTTTTCTATTATTTCTCTATTTTCTTTCTCTCTGCATTGTTGGGACGGGCACCGTAAGTAAGCATTTCACTGTTAGTCTACACCTGTTGTTTATGAAGCATGTGATGAATAAAATCAAATAAAATGTGATCTTGTCCTCAAATTTCCTCTGCTTATTCAGATTGACGAAAGTTGGAAGAGAGGCATCGGGGCGATATGTCTATGTACATAATATGTACATAACCTTTTCAATTTACATTCGCAACAGAATGTCCCATGCTGAGAGAGGGGATGACATTCTTGCTTCTCAGCTCAAATGTACCATAAATATCACAGTACCCACTAGCCAGTAAGCATGCAAACTATTGAACTAGTTAGCTATGCGAGCAACTTTTAATCTACCATATTGCACTCTTGATTAATGCAACAAAACCATATTACACTCTTAAATAATACAACAATTCACAAGCATGTGCAGACATCTAAATGGTTTATTTTTTCGTCCATCTACTCATTAATTTAGATGCAAGACAATAACACAGCCAAAGTGGCACAGGTGCTAGCTAACGTTAGCCAACAACATTTGCTTCATCAAGTAACTTTAGAAAAGCAAAAATGTAAGTTTACCCCTCTCATACAAATATAAAAGTACAGTAACGTTATCATACAGTGTCATTAATATACGGTTCTCTCTACCAGGATTGGGCTAGGAACAGCAAGGGCAAACTGATTAACTGAATTGCTCTGCAAGGACACAGCATTCAGTTAGCAACCACAGAGGAACACTGTGTAATCAATGATACACTACATGTATATGGACACATACTCGTCGAACATCTCATTCCAAAATCATGGGCATTAATATAGAGAGTTGGTCCCCCCTTTGCTGATATAACAGCCTCCACTCTTCTGGGGAGGCCTTTCACTAGATGTTGGAACATTGCTGCAGGGACTTGCTTCCATTCAGCCACAAGAGCATTAGTGAGGTCAGGCACTGATGTTGGGTGATTAGGCCCGCAGTCGGCGTTCCAATTCATCCCAAAGGTGTTCGATGGGGTTGAGGACAGGGCTTTGTGCAGGCAAGTCAAGTTCTTCCACACCGATCTCGATAAACCATTTCTGTATGGACCTCGCTTTGTGCACAGTGGCATTGTCATGCTGAAACAGGAAAGGGCCTTCCCCAAAGTTGGAAGCACAGAATCGTCTAGAATGTCATTGTATGCTGTAGCGTTAAGATTTCCCTTCACTGGAACTAAGGGGCCTAGCCCGAACCATAAAAAACATCCCCAGACCATTATTCCTCCTCCACCAAACTTTACAGTTGGCACTATGCATTGGGGCAGGTAGCGTTCTCCTGGCATCCGCCAAACCCAGATTTGTCCGTCGGACTTCCAGATGGTGAAGTGTGATTCATCACTCCAGAGAACGCGTTTCCACTGCTCCAGAGTCCAATGGCGGCGAGCTTTACACCACTCCAGCCAACGCTTGGCATTGCACATGGTGACCTTAGGCTTGTGTGCAGCTGCTCAGCCATGGAAACCCATTTCATGAAGCTCCCGACTAACAGTTATTGTGCTGACATTGCTTCCAGAGGCAGTTCAACTGTCTGTGAGCTTGTGTGGCCTACAACTTCGTGGCTTAACCGTTGTTGCTCCAAGTCATTTCCAGTTCACAATAACAGCACTTACAATTGACCGGGGCAGCTTTAGCAGGGAGAAACTTGACAAACTGACATTTTGGAAAGGGGGCATCCTATGACAGTGCCACGTTGAAAGTCACTGAGCTCTTCAGTAAGGCCATTCTACTGCCAATGTTTGTCTATGGAGATTGCACGGCAGTGTGGTCGATTTTATACACGTGTCAGCAACGGGTGTGGCTTAAATAGTCGAATCCACTTATTTGAAGGGGTGTCCACATACTTCTGTATATATAGTGTACCTTAGGAGAGCAGAACCACAGCACGGCTTTTGAGATGTGTGCTGATGTTGTTTGGAATTAGATTGGAAAGGGATATGATATGCCTAGTTCACTTTCATCTGCTTCAAATGTGGCTTCATTTGAAATCACATTAAGCCAGAGGCTGCCTGGCTGCCATCCTGAGCAGTGGAATCATACGCAATGTCAATAACCTCAGTGTTCCTATTTAGCAGCTTTTGCTCTCCAATTAAATGTTTAGCCTAATTGATTGTTAGTTACCAAAACTTTTCGGATTGTATGACCCAAACGCAAGGCATTTCATTTAGCATGTTTAGAATATGCAGACGGATGACACAGCTGAATATGCTAAAAATGATAAACATTTATAATTTTACACATGGTCTCCTCGGTGATCTAGCACTCTCTCTTTGTCTCCTGACAACAGTACATCAAGATCCCCGCCCCGTCCCCAGATGCCTCGGACGCACTAAGGGTATTTTCCTTCTACCTGTCCAGTGATAGCAAGGACAAACCTCAGGCCAGCTTCGACTGCATACACCAGTATGTCTCAAGGTAAGCACACACTACTGTTTTCACAGTCAACCACAGATGGAATTCAGTCAGTTCAGTCAAATTGGGACCACAGGACTTCTGAGACACTGCTCTCTTTCTCACACTCTCTCCCATTGCCAACATAAGTAACCCTTGTCACCATTTGACCGCTTCAAATGACAGCTTATCCTCAGACAATTTTTCTTACCATTGCATGTATAGTACAGTTCAGTCTTATTTTAGAACTACTCATAAACTCTGTCCTTTTGAGTTAAGCACTTTCTGTTGAGCTCTTTTTTGTCCTTTGAGTTACTGTAAGTACCAATTTAGCATACTGTGTTGCTAACATTTGACAGTTGAGGTTGGTTGTCTCTAGACCTTTGACCTACACATGTCTGAGGACGGTGAGATCACGGTGTTTGGGGCCATGTGGGGTCAAAGGGTTAGTTGGAGGGGTAGAGTTGTGACGCTCTGTTTGCCCTGCAGCTCAAAGAAGTCTTGTGGCTTTACAATACTTTACTTGTTGTACAGCTTAATGCCTTAACATAGGATGTGAGGAATGAGCATGAGGACAGAAGTCACAGAACCAGTCATGGGAGTGAGACACATGTCACGTAGACAGAAACACACAAAACACATTTTCAAGAAATGCTCTATTGATTTGGAAGTAGTGTGAGAGTTTGTACATTACCTTTTGCTGCTATGTGAGCCTGATCCTCTCCTCTCCTCGCCTCGCCTCGCCTCAGGGAGGGCAGGGAGCACCTGGAGGGCCAGGGCAGTATTCAGGACAAGATCACTGTGTGTGCCACTGATGACTCGTACCAGATGACTCGGGAGCGCATGTCTCAGGTGGAGAAGGACATCATGAGCAGGTCGGCCATCGAGATCAAGCCAGGCTCCACACGTGGTAAGTCTGCAGTCACAGGCTGCTTTTTCCTCTGCTGGCTGAGCTAGGTCCAAACCAGCTTCACACAGAGCCCTTTACCTTTGGGGATCAAGGGCAAAATAATGGAGGTGTTTTAATGTTCTCTGAAAGCTTCTAACCCATCGCCTTTTACCATCTTGTCGTGCTGATAATTGCCATGTAGTGTGGAAGTTATCACATAATTGATTAAAGTACTGGGTTGCAATTATTCATGTGAGAGAGGATACCTCTTTTTCTTCTCCTTTTCCCTTCATTTTAACCAGATTGCTCAGGCACGTTGCCAACCTGCCTGCCAGCTCCATTCATGTGATTGAGTTTGCCAGAAGTATGCACTAACAAGTCTCATGCTGAGTGGATTAAGTTTTGCCTAAGAGTTTAATTACAGTGGCTGCGATTCAATTCGTTTTCATCAGCTGAAATACTGAATTATTGTATGCAGATTCTCTGAAGCAAAGGCCATAATTCACCATAAGTAGTTAAGAACTGACGAAGATCAGAATCAAAACGCTGTCTATTTGTGCCACAATGTAAATATATTATTGTGGGAGCATAGCAGTGCTGTAGATATCTGTATACAGCATGTGAACCAGTGGTCCAAGCACTGCTGCTGCTACTCTGTTTATTATCTATGCATAGTCACTTTAACTCTACCCACATGTACATATTACCTCAATTTCCTCGACTAACCGGTGCCCCCGCACATTGACTCTGTACCGGTACCCCCTGTATATAGCCTCACTATTGTTATTTTACTGCTGCTCTTTAATTATTTGTTGCTTTTATTTCTTCTTATTTTTTTATTGAATGTTTCTTTGGTATTTTGGGGGGATTCATTCTTAAAACTGCATTGTTGGTTAAGGGCTTGATTTAATGTGCATTAGTTATATTTCATGCAGGAGGATGCATACACAGGCATACTTCTGTGTCTTCTGGTGGGTTCTATCTCATAGTCTGAATGGACAGACTACCGGTTACTGATGCCGTGTATTATAACCTGGACAGACGCGTAGAACTGCAGTCTTCATGACATAATATGTATGTGTGGGTTTAAGCCACGTAGAGCTCTTCTTTGCCGACACTGACAGTTTTACACATATTGTCTAAAACATAAATAGGCTGTGGGACTATTTAAGATACTATTTGAAGAGGTAGGTTTTCAGATGTTTTTGGAAGATGGGCAGGAACTCTGCTGTCCTAGCTTCAGAGGGACCATTGGGGTGCCAGGACAGAGAAGAGCTTGGACTGGGCTGAGCGGGAGCTTCCGTCCCATAGGGGTGGGATGGCCAAGAGACCAGAGGTGGCAGAACACATGACATGCCATGCTCTGCTGTTGAAATAGGCTTTTTGAGGGCTCTTGCATAATCCTGTTCAAGGTAGCTGTCATGTTGAGATTGCTGTGTAATATCTCTGCTGAATGGGTGCAAAACAAAGACTGAATTCTAATCCAAATAATTCATTTTACATGAAAGTTAATCAAGTGAAAATGAGGACGTCCACTTGCAACCTTAGTCTGGGAACATTGACATTGGTTTCATAGGGTTTAAGGCACACAACTGGACTCACTTTCCCACAGCATGGACAGGACAGTAAGGCACCCATTCAAAGGGAACTGAAATTAAAGGGTTATAAACTATATGTCATATGCGCTACTGTGCACACAAACCTCCTTTGGTAGCCAGCAGCCAGCAGTATTTCTGTGGTACAGTAATTCTGTACCACAGATAAAATAAAAATGATAGTTTGCAGGCTAGGAGAATGGCTACGATTTAGTTTTAATGTATGGCTCAAATACTTTCCCAGTGAAAGAATTTTTGAAGAAGTTCTGTAAAAGGCATTTTAAAGTCATCTCTGACCATTTTATACTGTAGCTGTACAAAACTGTCTTATAAAGGGAATGTGTTTTAGTTTAACATATTCAGTGGCGATAGAAGTATAGTGAAGCTATATCTGGAAACCACTGGCATCCCCATCTCCCACCACCTGTCTGCTAGTATTGAGGTTAAGAAGGGTTAGGCCTGGTTAGTCCAGTTAGTGTTAGGTCTGGTTAGAATCATTTATCTTGTTAGGAAAAGGCCTGAGAACATCAGGTAGCAGTAGAACATGCTACAGCACTCCTCCCTCTGGTCTATAGGAAGGCCTTTACCCCCAAGGAGTGAGGAATACCACACACTGTGTGCAGTCTTTCAGTTAAGATAATAAACCAAGATCCTAACTCTGTGATCACTAAAGATCCCATGGCACTTATTGCTAGAGTAGGGAATAACCCCACCATCCTGGATAAACTCCCAACCTGGGAACCATGGAGAACTCAGCCTGTTATAGGCTCACTATCTCCTCACATCTCTGCATGATCTGGTGTCAGTCTGACGTACATTACTTATGGTTGTGATACACTACACCTTGGTGACAGATGGGATGAGGAACACCCATACAATATCAAGCTGAGCCATTATATAGTCTTTGGTGTAACCATACATTTTGGGTGAATGCTACTGTTTTGGTTTCAATGTTATCAACATGGTTGTGTCCAAACGTGATTATTTAGTTACTGCTTTAGATTTTTTTAGGGCACGTTTCACAAATATTTTTTAGCAACAAAGGAACCAACCCATATCATATTTCTGATAAGCTAAGTATGTTTTAGTCAAGCATGTTCAGTGTTCTGCTGGTTTCATGTAAAAGCTATACAGTAGACAGAATGGCGCTTTGCAAACCTTCCCATAACCAACTACATGACAAGCAGATTTAATTTATTGTTGTTAGCGTCTAGTCACTGCATGTTTAAAATGTTGCAACACAGGCTATTTCACTACACTACAGGAAGATATTGAACTATAAATTGTATGTGTCTTGAACCACGGTAATCAAGCTTTGGAAACTTCATTGCATTTGGCAAAAGCAGAGATTTACCCTCAGGCCTAGAGTTGATTAAAATTACACCCTTTAATCTTACTGGGGTTCATAGTATATGTTGATGATATCCTAATTTCTCACATTATGAAAATGTCAGGAATTGTTTGTGTAACTGTTATGCAAAGCATTTCAAATAGGCGACCTTGAAGAATACAGACATTTTGAAGACTTGTTAACCAATATGTTTTTAAAGCTAGAATCCTTAGTTGAAACAATAACAAAGCATTTCCCTTCCTCTGTTTTGGTAAAATGCTGAGTGATGGGCCTTGAGAAGTGAAACCACTCTCATAGACAGAGCTATGGATGCAAGGACTGACCATCTATGATATCAAAATGATAGTTTTAACCATGCTTTGAGGCTATACAGTGTTTGTTTACATTTACATTGTTTCCAAACATTGGAGTTTTAGAAGTTTATATTTTGTGTTCTGATGGGGTAAAACAGTTGAACTAAGCTCATAAGGCATTTATACGTTTTATTCTTCAAGAATCAATGGGTATATATTATTAAATGGATGTAGCAACTGCAGATTCTAGCTTTAACATTATTACATTCCAGTTGTGCAACAACTGTGGACTTTTAGAAATGTCAAATTGAGTGCATGGAGCCAGATAGTATTTTACGGAGTATGTAAATCAACTAGGTCCATATGTCATAGAGTGAATCAACTCTTTCATGTACAGTGCAGCTGAGTTCTAGCTTTACATAATGCAGTAGATACCAGAACCACTCTGCTTCCATGAAGAGGCTGTGCTTTTCGTCCTATAGCAACCTTCAAAGCAGAGCTTAAACTTTTAATGAGATCAGGGTTGGGAGATATATCTATAAGCACCGCCACGTCCTGCTGGCTTGGAGCCAGGAGAATTAGTGCTGCAACAGGAAGAAAGGGCCTCTGTGTATGAGTGAGGTTCTTCAGTTTCCATGCTCCTCTGCTTGCACAGGAGCCGGTTAACTTCACTGGCAACTCTTTCACTGAACTCCCATCCTGGCGCTGCGCACCAACACTTGAGTGTGTATGTGTACAGGAGGCTGTTTGCGATCTGGCTAAATATATTTGTTCAGACGCTATTTCCTGCTAGGGACACAAGGTGCCATTCCTGTTTGCAGTGTTTGCATACTGTATTTATGACAGACATCATCTGTCAAGACAAAGCACATCTGGTTTTACTTCCGGCCTGTGTCTCACACATTATACCAGGCCTTTTTTGCATAACTGGCCTGAGGATTGGCTGAGAATTGGCACTGTGTTGAGTTGCTGGGCTATTCAGAGAAGTGGAGGTCTATTTTGAATCCTGTTCAGAGGCAGTCAGAACAAGCATAATCCTCCGTCCCGCGCTCGGCACATTTCCAGTGTACTGCTTGGCTTTCTATGAGCGCTTTGGATTATCCAAGTGATAATTGTGGTAATTGCTGAAACTTTCACTGAATGACAAGAGCACAAAACCACTACTCGTTACTTGGTAACAGTAGCTTAGATGTGTAAGAAGGTAGCTTTTATGTCTAAAAAATTGTGTGTATGTCACTAACATTGTTCTCATCAAATGGCACCTCTCTGTGTATCTACCTTTCTCTGTCAGGTAAATGTGTGAAGATCCAGAGGAAGCAGGGCCTGTCGTCAAACATGGACATCAGCAGCAACAGGCACTCCCCCAGCAGCAAGAGGAGCGGGGCCCCCAGCCCAGTGGCCCTCAGGCCCCTAAGAGACCGCATCATCCACGTCCTTGCCTTGAAGGCCTACAGGAAGCCTGAGCTTCTGCTGTGGCTGGAGAGGGAGAGGGCCAGTCCTAAGGACAAGGCTGACCTGGGAGCAGTACTGGACGAGGTGAGACCTCTAGAACACAACACGACACTACAATAAACTGTACTCTGGCACTAGGCTGCAGGTGCATGGTAGGCACTGGTTTCACTGAGTGCAGATCAAACTCAATAGCGCACAACTTTTGCATATTGTAGTCCAATTGTAATGCATTTCAAATGAATAAACCTAATCTATTTTGGTAAATGAAACACATGTAAAACATCACAGCAACTTTAAAAGTGCCTCGGGGATTCAGGTGCATTTATAAGCAATTATAAATCCCTCTAGGGGTTCCAAATGTAAACACTGCAGAGTAGCCTCTCTCTCTTGCTGTCTCGCTCTCTTTGTCACGGAGGCATTCTAGGTAGACTAGATTTGGTACTGCATTTGTGACTCTAACTGGGCACAGCCTGCCAGTTGATCCTTTTTTTAACCAGGGTCAAAACTGCAACTAACGCTTCAGAGACAGAGGGCTAAAATGTGTTTGTCATTGATTTGCAGGTTGCTAAACTGAATCCCAAAGACCACAGCTTTACTCTGAAGGATGAGTTCTACAGTCACGTCCAGAAGGATTGGCCCGGTTACCTAGAGGAAGAGAAGCAGCTCATCCATAGGCTCCTGGCCAGGTGGGTGTGGCTTGTACTTCTACTCACCTGTCTTCTCTAGCACCAGTGAATATTTTAATATTACCTGTATATCAACATGATGTTGGTGTCATGGTGGAGAGTCCCCTTGTCTGTAGTTTATCTTAATGTAACATTGTAAGCTTCAGTAATTGGATTTTTATTTATTTTTATTTTACCTTTATTTAACTAGGCAAGTCAGTTAAGAACAAATTCTTATTTACAATGACGGCCTACACCAGCCAAACCCGGACGACGCTGGGCCAATTGTGCGCCGCCCTATGGGACTCCCAATCACGGCCGGTTGTGATACAGCCTGGAATCAAACCAGGGGGTCTGTAGTGACGCCTTAAGCACTGAGATGCAGTGCCTTAGACCGCTGCGCCACTCGGGAGCCCATTACCTCTCCTCAGTAGCGGGGTGCTCTGATGCTTTTTGACAACGTGCTGGCGTTAAGACTGCAGGCCCACTGGATTACTGTGGCAGGCCGCTGTGATCATGTTGAAAGGAGAGACTCTAAATGACTATTTCTCTGCACAGATAAATGTCTTAATGGGCACATTTATCAAAGTGGGGAGAGAAATATTCTCTGCATGGTGTTGCCAAATAGTATTAATGTAGAGGACAGCAGCCTGGCTGAGCTTTTTAGAATGAGAGAGTGGATATCCACCTCCTGCCTACTTACTGTGCAACTGACTGTTGCCCTTCTGTTTACACTACTGACTCAGATGTTATAAAGAGTGTTGTGAATGTACATGATACGGGTGCTGTTGACTTGGCTCATAACTATATGACCGTTCATTAATTATAACGAAGAGCCTTTTCTTATAGTTTATCTCAGATAGCAACTTCATTTGGATGTGGTTAGTATCAGAATCCAACCAGGCTGGTAGCCTAGTCTGTCCGAGGGTCTCATGTCTGGAATGTCCTGAAAGCCAGTGGTGCTTCCAGCAGATTCCATTGATCATCTAGTTAAAATGGTCATGCTGCTCCTGTGGGAGGTATGATTGAACTCTGATTCCAGTGAGGTTTCTGTGAGGAAGGAGCTGGAGGAAGCAGATTGCCAGTGGAGAGAGGAGTGTTTAGCCTAACAGAGCCTGCATCTGGCACCATTGTTCTCCTCACTGAGGTGACTGGACACTGCTCCGCATTAGTGCCTGCCTCTTACAGATGTAATCTGTGTTCTGTAACCTAGAAACACTACAGACAGCCTAACACTTTGAAACATGCAGAAAAACTTGTCAGTTTCACTCTGAGGTCAAGTGTAGAAAACTGGTGTGTTGTAAAATATGTGGGAGTGTAATGTCTGTCTGACAGCGTGGTTCCATTTGTTATTTTGCAAATATGAATATAAACAGCAGCGTCTAAGGCAGACTTTGCTTGTAATTTATGTATCTTGATCCTGAAGTTACAGTAACCAAATGGTTATTTGTGTTTTGTTTTGTTTTCCTCTGTTAACATGGCCCCACCTCTTTCACTTCACTGGAAACCATACAATTGCAGTTGGAGTTTGAACCATTATTTACAAACTAATACGTCTGTCCAAAGTGAAGTTTAAAGCTTAAATGATCTGCCCTAACATAAACGGAATAGCAAAGTAAAAATGTCTTCCCCTTCTAATGTTGCAGGAAACTGCAGCCACTGAGCTTCAGTAGCCAGTTGAAGAGTTTCCAGTCAAACCATTCATTCCACAAAACCCCTGGGGATTCTCCGTCACAACTCAGCCCAGTCAAGACTCCCTCTGTGGTAAATACTCACCTTCCTAACTCTAAAATAATTTCTACATCCTGCCCTTCCTCACTGTTTCTTTTCTTATAAGCTTGAGATTTATTAGAAATGAAAGAGAATACAGAGATTAATTTCAAGGGTTAAATTATTTGTGTTTGAGTAGTGGATCAGTGTTATGCTTTTTGACAAGACGTGGGCTTACTGCAAAATAAGATTGAGTACAGGAGGAATGAGAGGAACGTTTCTTGGTGTGGCAGCATCTGCTTTTTATTTATGGGAGTGCTGGAGGCAGTTCAGTCACTGCCGTTTTCAGGGGCCAGTTAGGATGTTTTAATGGTTAGTCTTCACCAAGAAGTCTTACAGGTAAAACCTCTTCTCTTCCCCTTCTCATAGAAACGCCCCTTGCCCTCCGACCTATTTGATTTTCAGACCCCCAAGAAGCAAAGACTAGATCACAGTTTACCCCTGCAGTCGCCTTCCAATGGACACCTTGGTCCCATTGGAGCCCGTAGCTCATCTGGACCAGGCAACACCAGTGTACAGACCAAAACAGAGTTTGAGAGAACCAACAATCATGTCCAGGGAAGCCCTAATGGTCTCTACACACGGCACAAACTGGATGGTTCCTCCAGTATTCCCAAGCTGGAGAGGACAGAGCCGGTCCCAGCAGTACCAAGCCCCAAGGCCCCACAAACTGAGCCCTCCATCTGCACTGACCAGCAGCTAGCTGACGGCCAGCACAAAAAGAAGAAGTCCAAGAAGCACAAAGACAAGGAACGGGAACACTTAAAACAAGACTGGATAGAGAACAGTCCCGACCTGAAGCAGAACCAGGAACATCTCAATGGTAAGAAAAGCACACTTTGATTCCCAATGTAATTTTCAACAAAATCATATAATTTTGAGACCGTGTTGGCTGGAATGATAGCAGAAACAAAACATGTTGACAATGATACAGTAATCATATCTAAGGGTATATTTACAGCAGAGTTTCCGATAGCCGCTTTTTTTTAAGCCAATGAATACAATTGGTGCCGGTCAATTTTCCGGGAGAAGAAAAATCCCATTGCGAAATAATGCTTTTTAGCCTATTCATTGATGGAAATACCAGTCGATGTAAATACATTTGACTGGTCATGCTTATCGGTCTATAGGTTAATTTGCATAATTTAGTGGAATTAAATTGGCACATGGGTACAGTATATTTGTTATGTATCTTATATATCACATATGTACAGCATCTCAAACAACAAACATAGGCAACGCAAGGCAGGCTTCATCAGCATATCACACACCACTTTGCAATGAGCTGGAGGCAGTATGCATTTAGAAAACATATGCTTAATTGTTTGAAACCTGAACGTTTTAATACATATTATGAGGCATGTCTTACCTTGCTTCAAAGTAGCCAAGCCAAAATCAGACCATATCTGTGGAGGCAATTATTTTATATCAACTTTCTTTCATTGTCCAGTAGCCACAATCCTAGTCATATTAGCAACCCATACTAGTTGTTGCATATTTGATCTCCCCTCTTTCAACATTTCTACCCCTACCTACATGTACACTACCGGTCAAAAGTTTTAGAACACCTACTCATTCAAGGGTTTTTCTTTATTTTTACTATTTTCTACATTGTAGAATAATAATGAAGACATCAAAACTATGAAATAACACATATGGAATCATGTAGTAACCCAAAAAGTGTTAAACAAATCAAAATATATTTTAGATTCTTCAAATAGCCACCCTTTGCCTTGATGACAGCTTTGCACACTCTTGGCATTCTCTCAACCAGCTTCATGAGGTAGTCACCTGGAATGCATTTCAATTCACATGTGTGGGTTGCCTTCTTAAAAGTTAATTTGGTGGAATTTCTCTTTTCGCTTCTTAATGTGTTTTGAGCCAATCAGATTTGTTGTGACAAGGTGGGGGGTGGGGGGGGGGGGGGGGGTTGGGGGGGGGGGGGGGGGGGCGGGGGGGGGGGGGGGGGGGGGGGATACAGAAGATAAGCCCTATTTGGTAAAAGACCAAGTCCATATTATGGCAAGAACAGCTCAAATAAGCAAAGAGAAACGACAGTCCATCATTACTTTAAGACATGAAGGTCAGTCAATACGGAAAATGTCAATGAACGTTTCTTCAAGTGCAGTCGCAAAAACCAACAAGCGCTATGATGAAACTTGCTCTCATGAGGACCACCACAGGAATGGAAGTCCCAGAGTTACCTCTGCTGCAGAGGATAAGTTCATTAGAGTTTCCAGCCTCAGAAATTGCAGCCCAAATAAATGCTTCACAGAGTTCAAGTAACAGACACATCTCAACATCAACTGTTCAGAGGAGACTGTGTGAATCAGGCCTTCATGGTCGAATTGCTGCAAAGAAACCACTACTAAAGGACACCAATAAGAAGAAGAGATTTGCTTGGGCCAAGAAACACGAGCAATGGACATTGTGTCCTTTGGTCTGGAGTCCAAATTGGAGATTTTTGGTTCCAACCGCCGTGTCTTTATGAGACGCGGTGTGGGTGAACGGATGATCTCCGCATGTGTTTTTCCCACAGTAAAGCATGGAGGAGGAGGTGTAATGGTGTGGGGGTGCTTGGCTGGTGACACTGTCTGTGATTTATTTAGAATTCAAGGCACACTTAACCAGCATGGCTACCACAGCATTCTGCATCGATACGCCATCCCATCTTGTTTGGGCTTAGTGGGACTATCATTTGTTTTTCAAGAGGACAATGACCCAACACACCTCCAGGCTGTGTAAGGGCTATTTTACCAAGAAGGAGAGTGATGGAGTGCTGCATCAGATGACCTGGCCTCCACAATCCCCCGACCTCAACCAAATTGAGATGGTTTGGGATGAGTCGGACCGCAGAGTGAAGGAAATGCAGCCAACAAGTGCTCAGCATATGTGGGAACTCCTTCAAGACTGTTGGAAAAGCAGATGAGAGAATGCCAAGAGTGTGCAAAGCTGTCATCAATGCAAAGGGTGGCTATTTGAAGAATCTCAAATATAAAATATATTTTGATTTGTTTAACACTTTTTGGGTTACTACATGATTCCATATGTGTTATTTCATAGTTTTGATGTCTTCACTATTATTCTACAATGTAGAAAATAGTAAAAATAAAGAAAAACCCTTGAATGAGTAGGTGTTCTAAAACCTTTGACCGGTAGTGTACATATTACCTCAATTACCTAGACTAACCTGTACCCCTGCACATTGACTCGGTTCCCCCCGAATATACATTTACATTTACATTTTAGTCATTTAGCAGACGCTCTTATCCAGAGCAACTTACAGTTAGTGAGTGCATACATTATTCTTTTTTAATATAGCCTCATTATTGTTATTTTATTGTGTTCTTTTTTTGTTCTTTTTTTTTTTACTTTAGTTTATTTAGTAAATGTTTTCTTCATTCTTATTTTTCTTAAAACTGCATTGTTGGTTAATTTGATTTGATATTTTCGCCCTTTTGACATCAGTGTTTTCCCGCTAATTGTATTATGGAACGAACATTCATGCATAGTCTACTGCCTTGTGCACATTGCTGTGCTTATAATGTGAAGAAACAATAGTTTATCAACATTTTAAGCTAAATGTTCTATTCTGTTGCATCAGAATCATTGCTTTTTAACATTTTTTTTTTTTTATGTAGCCTAGGCCGACTGGTTGTATGAATTTGGGATCTATCGTCCCACAACTGTCCCAGAGTCTGTTTGGAATAGGCTATTTCTTTCTAGAAAAGCTGACCAATAGAATAGGTTTACTTTTCTACAATGGGGGATTGTAGATTTACATAGCCTAGTGATTTTGCTGTTCGTTACTCCTCTTGCTGGCTGAGGAAAAGTAAATGTGGACAGTTATTCTAATATCTACAAAGTGCACATCAGACTTCGGTAAGAAGGACTGCACAACGTTGCATCCTCGACTTGCATGTTCTGTTAATATGAATGACCATAATCTAAAGGTGATTTCTGTCATTCTGAGCACCGTGGGTGGACGCCCTAATCAGGTTACGTATCCAATGCATATGGGTCCAGTCAATTTCTGAAATGTCCGGTACATTAAAACGCTGCCGGTCACATGTCCGGCGCCACATTTTCCTAACGGAATCCCTGTTTTACACTACTTCTGGCCTATGCCCACATTAAAATCAGAGCAGTTTAATCATTTAGAAGAAGCACCTAATCCGTTTATTTGAGCCAACAAGATTACAGGATAGACTGCCCAGGATTTGTATACATACGAATAAACACTTTCCATATATACATAAACACTGTCAAACACTCTCCACATTATACAAAATAGCAAAGATCACAGGCAAAATGTCTGTTTTTATTACACATATTTATTGCAGTAGTAAAGCAACTATATCATTTGGAAAAGTATTATGAAACTTCAAAGGGACCTGTCTCAAATAGGTTAGGTGACTTATCGAGAAGGCTCATGGTGAATTGCTGTAGGTTTTCAACAGAGTGACAATAAATCAGTGATCTGAAGAGCATTTCCAGTGGAAAGGTGATGTGTATGTATCTTCTGCTAGCACCCCCCATCCCTTTCCCTGGCTAGTGTGTAGATGATTGACTGTGGAACAGCTGGGTGACCCACGGTCCATCGAGTCAGCAGGCTGTTCTGCCTCCCAATCTGGAGCGCTGCTGGCGTCACTGACACTGCCTGCCTTGGAGCAGGTCTCTTATCAGGAGCACTGATAAACAACTCCATCAGCCTTGGTATGATATGAGCTTTTTCACGTTTGCATTGGCAGATTACATTAACCTTTTTTCCTCTGCTTGTGTTTATCTCCAGACCATGAGGGGGCTAAAACACCTGTCACTCGTACGTCACCGGAGGAGCTGTCCGACTATTTAATGTAAGTTCAAACACACTGCTTCATTCATAAGTCCTCCAGAATCGCCCTGGGTTGCTGAGTGGTGCTGCTAGGTTGATCAGTTATTTGAAGGCCATTCAAACTGTAAATATGGCAGAAGTGAAGGCAGTATGTGCTTTCAAAGTCTCAGGTTCTGTTACTACCATCTGTTGCTTCAATGTTTTTGTTTAATGGTATGACTACTTTAACCACTTTTGTTGTGAAAGGAAAGTGATTTGTTCGAAAAGGGCTGGATTCAGCTTGAAAACATTCACATAAATAGTGGAAAATGTGAACGTTTAAATGGTCTGTCACATGTTCAGTAATAACACAGCTTTACCGAGAATGACTTAGAAAACGAATGACCTAATGTCTTACATTTCTACATCTTGAGAACACATCTCTCTGTGAAATCATTGCTGAGTCAAAAGCCATTCATTTTGCTAATCTGCAGTGCCACCTGCTGGAGAGACGAATGCATATTTATATAGATGGGTTGGTTGTTTAGTAGCCTCTGCTGAGTCCGGGATGTCCCGGTTTTCAGGGGAAATGGAAAGAGAGCCTGTGACACAACTTCCACTTTGGATGTTAACAAGGCGACACTCCATCTTAACTCCTCCTCCACATTTTCTGGATTGGTTGAACCGTGCAAAAGAAAACCTCCCCTGATAGTTTTTTTTTCTTCTCATCAGTATGTAGGGGATCTAGTTTAAGGCGTTTCTTTTACGCCTGCTACGTGGCGTAAAACAGACAGGGTTGGTTTAGATTATTGACATCATGTAAACTATATTTCGTCTCCAATATTTATTGAAAACATAAATACATTTGCACAATGAGCACTTGTTTTCTCTCAAATACATCTTTACAGTTGTTGGTTAGCTAGCTAGCAAAGTTTAGCCATATTAGCTTAGACAGGATATCAGTGAAAACACCTCAAAACAAGACATGGTATCAATAACAAGATACAATGACCTGAAACGAGCCACCTACGGTTCCCCACATGGCAGCTTCTTGTCATTGTTTCTATCTATCTGGCCATCCAGAATCACAGCAATACACGGCCTTCTGCCCCATTTGAAGCGTGCGCATCTTTTTCTGACGTTGTCAGCTAACCCGTCTATTTCTACCTCCTGATGTGGCCATTCCACGTTGCCTGTCACAGCTGGCCAGACTAGACCAGACCATAGCAGATGGATGCCATGGGCCTGTGGTTGTTGAAATGACAGCTCACAAGATGTTAATGTCTCTCTTTCCAGAAAGTACAACACCATCACAGCCTCAGAGCAACGGCAACAGTACAAGGAGGATTTCTGTGCGGAGTATGATGAGTACAGGGCCCTGCACCACCGGATCGGTACTATCACAGAGATGTTTGTTCAGCTGGGCTCAAAGATCAACACTCTGTCCCCCGGTACACAGGAATACAAGGTATGAGCAAGGAACTGACGTCACTTCCATACACAAATCAAAACACTTCTGTTTAAACATTTAAAGACCTGGCTTGATGAACTTCCAAGGGTTTACTAAATGTCTTGTATTTTTCCACTCTTACAGCTCATGGAGGACCAAATACTGCAGAAATACAGAAAATATAAGAAAGTAAGTAATGCATGAGCAGGGAATATAATTGAATTATTTTATAGCCTGTCTTATCTACTGTAGCCTGTATGGGTATCACAAAGAACTTTGACTCATACCAGTGATATTAATGTTGTTATTAGGATCATTAGGAGCACGGCGCTTGTAACGCCAAGGTAGTGGGTTCGATCCCCGGGACCACCCATACACAAAAATGTATGCACGCATGACTGTAAGTCGCTTTGGATAAAAGCGTCTGCTAAATGGCATATTATTAGAGGAGGAAAAAGTACCCAACTGTCAAACTTGAGTAAAAGTAAAGATACTTTAATAGAAAATGACTCAAGTAAAAGTGTCACCCAATAAAATACTACTTGAGTAAAAGTAAAAAAGAATTTGCTTTTAAATATGCTTAAGTATTAAAAGTAAATATAATTGCTAAAATATACTTAAGTATCAAATGTAAAAGTAAAAGTATAAATAATTTCAAATTCCTTATATTAAGCAAACCAGACGGCACTATTTTCTTGTTTTCTTAAATTTACGGATATCAAGGGGCACACTCCAACACTCAGACATAATTTACAAGTGAAGCATGTGTGTTTAGTGAGTCCGCCAGATCAGAGGCAGTAGGGATGACCAGGGATGTTCTCTTGATAAGTGCGGGAATTTGACTATTTTCCTGTCCTGCTAAGCATTCAAGATGTAATGAGTACTTTTGGGTGTCAGGGAAAATGTATGGAGTAAAAAGTTACTTTCTTTAGGAATGTAGTGAAGTAAACGTAGTCAAATATAAATAGTAAAGTACAGATACCCCCAAAAAACTACTTAAGTAGACTTTAAAGTATTTTTACTTAATTCCTTACACCTCTGAGGATCATATTTTCCCATACGCTACACGCCCCTCTACTTTGTCAATGTCATCATAATGCCAGCTCTCTGACGGCCTTCTGCCTTGTCTTTGCAGAAGTTCCCTGGTTACCGGGAAGACAAGAAGCGATGCGAGTATCTGCATCAGAAACTGTCTCACATCAAAGGTCTAATCCTGGACTATGACTGTACCCAGGGCCCTTCATAGTGACTGGCCTGCACCCTGCTGCTCCAGGGTGTTACTGTATCAATGGACCAAAAGACTCTCCATGGACCAAAAGACTGCCCAGGCGAGCCTGGGTCTGGAGCGTCATGGACTTTAATCACATATGAATCACACATTCACTTTACTCCTCCCAGTGTTGATGGAAAAGAGAAGAGAGGTTCTCGTATATGAAGTGGGCCAAGACCAGCGACTCGTGATGAAATGAATCGTTGTTGAGGACGAGTGTTGTTGTTATGGCTGTCAATTTAAGCCAAATTCCTTTTTCTACCCATAATGTTAATGTACAAAAAGTATTTGATCCCCTGCTGATGTTGTACGTTTGCCCACTGACAAAGAAATTATCAGTCTATAATTTTAATGGTAGGTTTATTTGAACAGTGAGAGTCAGAATAACAACAAAAAAATCCAGAAAAAGGCATGTCAAAAATGTTATAAATTGATTTGCATTTGAATGAGGGAAATAAGTATTTGACCCCTCTGCAAAACATGACTTAGTACTTGGTGGCAAAACCCTTGTTGGCAATCGCAGAGGTCAGATGTTTCTTGTAGTTGGCCACCAGGTTTGCACACATTTTGTCCCACTCCTCTTTGCAGATCTTCTCCAAGTCATTAAGGTTTCGAGGCTGACGTTTGGCAACTCGAACCTTCAGCTCCCTCCACAGATTTTCTATGGGATTAAGGTCTGGAGACTGGCTGGGCCACTCCAGGACCTTAATGTGCTTCTTCTTGAGCCACTCCTTTGTTGCCTTGGCCATGTGTTTTGGGTCATTGTCATGCTGGAATACCCATCCTTGACCCATTTTCAATGCCCTGGCTGAGGGAAGGAGGTTCTCACCCAAGATTTGACGGTACATGGCCCCGTCCATCGTCCCTTTGATGCGGTGAAGTTGTCCTGTCCCCTTAGCAGAAAAACACCCCCAAAGCATAATGTTTCCACCTCCATGTTTGACGGTGGGGATGGTGTTCTTGGGGTCATAGGCAGCATTCCTCCTCCTCCAAACACGGCGAGTTGAGTTGATGCCAAAGAGCTCCATTTTGGTCTCATCTGACCACAACACTTTCACCCAGTTCTCCTCTGAATCATTCAGATGTTCATTGGCAAACTTCAGACGGGCATGTATATGTACAGTATCGAACACTGGAATTCCTCACCGTTCTCATGATCATTGCAACTCCACGAGGTGAGATCTTGCATGGAGCCCCAGGCCGAGGGAGATTGACAGTTATTTTGTGTTTCCATTTGCGAAAATCACACCAACTGTTGTCACCTTCTCACCAAGCTGCTTGGCGATGGTCTTGTAGCCCATTCCAGCCTTGTGTAGGTCTACAATATTGTCCCTGACTTCCTTGGAGAGCTCTTTGGTCTTGGCCACGGTGGAGAGTTTGGAATCTGATTGATTGATTGCTTCTGTGGACAGGTGTCTTTTATACAGGTAACAAACTGAGATTAGGAGCACTCCCTTTAAGAGTGTGCTCCTAATCTCAGCTCGTTACCTGTGTAAAAGACACCTGGGAGCCAGAAATCTTTCTGATTGAGAGGGGGTCAAGTACTTATTTCCCTCATTAAAATGCAAATCAATTTATAACATTTTTGACATGCGCTTTTCTGGATTTTTGTTGTTGTTATTCTGTCTCTCACTGTTCAAATAAACCTACCATTAAAATTATAGACTGATCATGTCTTTGTCAGTGGGCAAACGTACAAAATAAGCAGGGGATCAAATACTTTTTTCCCCTCACTGTACATGAACTCTCCTGCCCAATGCTTTTAACGTTTGGTCTATTTCCATGACTACACAGAAAGGCTTGGTTTGATGGTACAATCATAAGGACAGATGAGAATAAATGCTCTTCATACCCAGTCTTCTATCCATGCTATATTTAAGTACCCAGTACAATTTGCGGTTTGTTGTTTCACTGAATGTATAGATGTAAAATAATGATATAAGATCTTGATTCCTATAGAGAGGGTTGTAATCACTGGATTAAGATTAGGGAAAGCTGGAAGATATTCAATGTTATGTGGAAATATCTCAGACCTCTATGAACAAGAAGTTAACTGTTTGAGTTGATCATTTCTCTATTTGTTAAAGTTAATGATACAGTACATGTCATTAATCAGACATGCCAGTCAAATCTCCTATACATCCGCCACTGACCCAAATGTCACATTCAGTCTGTAGTTCCTTTTTGCAGTAATTGAGGCATTCTGCTTCATCAAATATGGGCCAAGGGATTGGAAACAACTGCCCCCTCTCTGCTGAAGAAAATGTTTATGAATCTTGACATTTGTATGATATAGTAAAATGCCATCTTAGTCATACAGTATACTTCCATGTTTCTGTTTAAACCACTACACCATTATTGAAAGAACACTAATCTGAATAAGAACTGCAATCAAACTCCAAAAGCACAATTAGGTGAATCTTTTTTGATTGGTGTGGCATTCTATTACCTACTTATCCTTCTGGATAAATTATTCTCATTGTTTGAGCCAGTATGCTCTGACCTTTGATAGTAATAAGGTTCATACAATATTAATGAATATTTTATTACCTTGATCAATAGTCTATTACATTTGTGAGACTGGGTGGAATGCCAGAGCATTTAACAGTACTTCCAAAAGCCATTTTTATATTACAAAGCTTGTGCTTGTGTAAATGTATTCTATCAGTCCAGCAAGAAACATAGGATTGCTTCCATGCAGTGATGAAATGCGATTCTTTAAAGCTTCTGGTGTCTTCTGATTTCAACCTGGTTTAGAGCCTCAGAAATAAGATTGTCCATCCCATAGATCAGAGATGAATCGTAGTTCAAAGATGAGATCTCAGAAACCTATTTTCTGACTTATGTAAACTTCTTTACTCTTGCTGTTGAAACTGCTTTGCAGGAAAATGCTGTGGTAAACAGTGGTACATTTTATATTTATTGGTGTTGCTGTAGCAGTTTACTAGATTTCACCTCAGCAAGATGGGACAGTTTATTTTCAGTTTGAAACAGTGAATGTTCCATTACAACATTGGGCTACTGGATGTGTTTGTTTACAGTATATGCCTTCACACAAACTGGACCACATTAATTGAACCTCTCTGGATGTACCTGGCGTCATCACTTGGGATTTTTATCTGTGGCTTGAAGATATATATTTTTTCAAATACAGTGACAACTCTTAATCAGTAATGAAATCAATGTGACTGTCTGTGTACACTATCTTGCTACTTAATTGCTGTCTTAAATGTAAATTGGAAGAGTTAATCTTGCCTTAACACACCATTCACACATTTCCATGTCTCTGATATTTACTTTCTGAAATGTAATGTAATCTCTCTTTTTTTAAATCTGCTCAGTTTAATTAAATGTTTCAGGATCATGTATTTTAGTTCACATATTTTTAAGGTTGAAGGAATTGCAGAATTTATGTTATTATATGATGCTTTCAATACTGCGTCTTATGTCTGCACATCTTTTTACAATGTTGATGTATTCCTCTACAATGTAAGTTGGGGCTCGATTCAATCATATCTGCTTTAGCGAACATCCGCATAGCGGTTGTTTTGAAGGTGTCTGATTTAGAACTGTGTTAGAGCTGTCAAATCCACAAGTGGCTCCCTGCATTATAGATAAAGCCAACATTGCCATTGGCTTCATGGAGTCGCATTAACAGAAATCCCATGCCGCCTTGTTTACAGTATCGAACACTGGAATGTGTCATGTAATCCACACCTCGATTATGATGATAGAAATCCTCATTATTTTGTTGAATGATTTTTCAATTTGAGCTTCATTATTCCTATATAGCCTACATTTTCTCATTCTGAACTTCTAATGTGAGTGGGGCGGTTGTGGCTTTGTGACAATGGTTGCAAGAGCAGCTGCTCACCGATTTGACAGTTCCTATGCAGTTCCACCTCTGACAAGGCCACAACATTCGCTATGTGGGTGTCTGCTATCACCGCTTAACGTTTGATCTGATTGAATCTAGGCCTTAATTATTTTGTGTTTGTCATAGGTTAATTTCTGTTAATTTCCCTCATGAGTGCTCTGTGGATATCTGTTTGATAATCATGAATGGGGTTATAAAAAATAATTGTGATTATATTGAGGGCCTTTTTTCATCCATTACAATTCTTCACCACTGTCACAAACCACATGGTTCCAGAGCTACATATAGGAACATGTCTGAAAGGTCTGTCAGAAGTGCTTGACTCGGTACACATAGTGGAGGAGTTCTTCTGTCACAGTTTGGGTTATTTTTTATTGTTGAATTCTAAATGTCCTAAATGAAATGTATGCTACTGTGGTATTCTGGAAAGCACATGATCAGATATGAGACTAGTACAGACCACTGTCTCTGTGTGCAGTATTGGACTGAGCCATAGAAGCTGTTCATCTGAATAAGTGCTAATTGTGATATATGCAGGAGTTTGCTAGGTGCCTTTTAATAGGAAAATCTGAGTCACATTGGCTTTAACATAATGTTATCTTTCATAATTGATTTGATTGCATGACACGCAGTTGAAACAAAATATATGTACTCAAATTATTGGTCCCTAAATTGTATTTTTCATGTGTAGGCCTACAGCTTTGTGGCTAAAGGTCCTTGAAAACCATTAAGACACCGACAATGTGCTCTTGAAATGCAAAATGACATGTAATGTGCATACTGCTTACAAATCAAATAACTCTAGAATTATTTTAAGGTTATTGTCTTGCTGTCACTGGTGCGTTTCCTTTTTTGATATTGGTCAATTAAATGTCTCAATAGAAATGTCCAGTATAAGTCACTACAGATTGTCGACCTATGAGAACAAATTTGTGTAACTATTGTTTTTTTGGTTCCTCCTTTGCACAATTTCCTGTCTGTTAAAGGCAGACAAGAAGCCTCTACTTCGCGAAAGGGAAATGTAATATATATATATATATATATATTTGCAATTGTCTGTGGGGGATGCTTTATCACCACCTTTTCCTCTAGAAAAAGACTACAAAATGTATTAATGTCTCAGAAAAAATAAATAAAGCTCTTTTCATCAATAATTGTCTGTTTTTTAAAAATTGCTATATATTACCGTGAGGTGGCGATGTTGCAGCACTTTTCGGGGAATTCCTTGCACCACACACTGATAT